GCGGCCGGCTCCCGCCTCACCGCCGCCCGTCCTCTCCCCGCAGGGCCGGCTGCTCTCCGGGCTGCGCTGGAGCCGGCTGGAGGAGCCCCTGGGTTTCATCAAGGTGCTGGAGTGGGTAAGGTTTCCATCTCCTCCAACTTCCAGGAGCTTTCTATTTCGGTGCCCGGGGGTGGGGGGGCAAGTGACGCTCCTGCAAAGTTATGCCAAGCTGGCCCGAGGGGGGGGGCTGGACGAGCCAGGCATGAGCAGGGCAGGAGGGGAAGGAGCCGAGCACGCCGTGCCCTCCAAGGCAGCCCTTCTATGAGCAAGGAAGCCTGGATCTGCCGGGAGGGGCCGGGGAGCGCTGCTCACATTTCATGGGGAGGGGGGAAAAAACACCCTGGCTGCAGTGGTTTAACCTTTCCAGAGCTCTGATCCTGCACATACCGGGCCTGGCTTGTCTCTCACTCCTCAGCTCCGCTCTCTTCACCCACCCCTGGGGCAGGGGGCGAGGGAATGGGTCCCGTGCTAATGGGGAGCGCAGTGCTCCAGGAGGGAATGTGTGGGACAGCCAGGCTCGCCTTATTAATGAAGCAGCCTTCAGCTACCGTCTGCTCGTTAAATCAGGCCCTAATGTCTCTGGCTGTCTCTGCCACAGTGATTTTCACAGCAACATGTGTTCCACCGGGAAAGTTATCTTGCGGTTTTAGAGGGGTTGACTCTCTCTCCAGTTTGTGCATCAGACATCGTCGCACTTATTGCATCCTTAACCAGGAAGAAGTGTTGTCTAGAGCAGGATTTGGAGGACGGGGACTCCTGGGTCCCTTGCGTGACCTTGGGCGAATCATTTCATGTCCTCTGAGTCCCAGTGGAGCCATCTGTAAGGAGAAGATACCTGCTTTCCGGCATCTGCATTCATTACTCTTACCAAGGGGTCTGAGACCCTTGAATGAAGCAGGGTATGGAAAGGCTTTGGTAGCAGTAACAGTGAATTAAAATGTTTGTAAAGTTGTCAGGGCCATCGGTCTGGAATATGAATGATTTGCACTGTCAGATCTGGGGGCACATCAACACTGCTGTATTTCTTGCATGCCTCCATTTGGTTGTGGAAGCCCGTACTAGTATATATTGCACCACGGTTATTCTAATAATAGCACTTATGTAGCAATTTTCATCCATAGATCACTAAGCTCGTTACAGATGAGGTCAGTGTCATTATTGCTGTTTTTCAGATGGGGAAGCTTAGGATCAAAGAGGGGAAGTAACTTACACAAGGTCTGCAGCCCCAAATCAAACCCAGCCCTCTTGATTTGGCCACCCAGAAGATGGAGCCCCAAATGTGTATAGCCCCAGGCCAATACATTCAAATGTTGGTTCTGAGTTTTGAGTAACTGAATTTTGGGGAGTCCAAACCCCAACCTGGGACACCAAGGGCTTGGGCACCTGCAGTTCTGCTTGAAGTCAAAGGGAGTTGTGAGTACCCTTGAAAACCCAGGGTGCTTCAAACCAACTACCCCAAACCTGAGACAGGTCTAATTAATATTAATTTGACTTTTGACTTGACCAGTAAGAGGCCAGTTACCCTTAATGAGAGGCCAGTTAGATCCTAAAGGCAGGAGGTTGCAAGTGAGAGAGGAACAGTGGGAAAAACCCTGGTTGTGCCCTGTGTGTTCTGCCTTTCAGCCTCCACTCCCTCCCCGTGTGACACAGGAGACTCGGCAAGATGGATCTGTGGTTGCACTTGGTCAATGGCAGTTACTTATGTTCATGCACCAACAAATAGCCCGAGTTCTGATGGAAGCCAGTACAAATTGAAGGAGCTCCGTTCAAGGAGCTTGCTGGGTCAGGCCCTCCATTCAAAAGTACCCCAAAGATGCAATACCGCGGGTATTTGAAGGGGTGTAATAACTAGGAGTGATTGGCTAATGCTAAACGACAGGAAACTTTAATGCAGAAAACAAATGGTAAGAAAGAGATGTATGAGACTAGCGCACAGTGTCACAAGCAAAGCCATGGAAGACACAATGCTTCGATCGTTTAAAACTAGGCTGGACAAAGCAGTAGGGACTATTCAGTAAGGAATAATTCTGCTTTGGTTGGGAAGTGATCGAGATGACACGGGGTGCGTCTACACAAGACGCTTACTGCGCATTAGCCTAATAACACTGCGCAGGAGTGTGGTGGTTAAAAACCATGCTAATAGCCTACTGCACAGCGTTATTAGGTTAATGGACAGTAAGCATCACGAAATAACCGTGCGCCGGTCCTACTGCGCAGTGACTCTAGTTACTATGCATTTAGTTATTACTTCGTTAAACAAGTACTAAACTCAATGCTCAGTAATTAAGGCGTATTAATGAATATGTAGATGAACCCACAGTGAATCTCCTCTGCCCCAAATGCTATACATTTTCCCTCTGTTGGGTTAATGATTTAGTTATGTTCAAGGGGGAATCAATCCGTTATAGATGACGTGTGAAATATTCAGTCTAAGGCTCTTTACCCTACATTTCCGTGCTCTCTTTTCTCTCCCTCTCAAACACAACATGCGACACACAGAGCTGATGTTTCTTTCTGTTGCGCAGGGAAGCCAGAGTTCAGAGAGCGTGAACTTAACCAGTGCTCAGTTTCTGGATGAGTTACCAGAAAACTATTCAGGAACCACATTCATCTTCACCCTGTGCCAGTAGAAGAAAAAGAGAAATTCAACGCAGAAAGAAGCACAGGAAATGTCATTTGAGACTTGTAACCATTTCCTGTATGGATGAATTACACACTTATTACAAGGAGGCAAAGAAAACAAGACAGCAGTTCATTGAATGTGTAACTGAAAACTGATTTTGGCGTAGAAGCACCAAGGCCCTTCAGTATTATCAGTACCAGAAAGAAAATCAAACGGTTCTTTAAAGGGATAAAGAACTTTAATGGGGTCACAAGCCCTCAGCTTCCCACCCCTGACACAGATCATCAGGTTGTCAGGCTGTGTTTCACAGTGAGGCACAAAGCAGGAGGACAGCTTGAGGTTCCTGTAAAAACATATTTTTTTAAAAGGGGGCTTTTCACTTCTGGCCAAGCCACCTGCCTGCATGCCCCTGCATCAGCAGCTCTTGAAACACCAGGCTTCTCTGAGCGGTTTCCAAGCTGCTGATTCAGCGCCTTAGGGGACAGGTGGCCTGACAGCCACGTAAGAAATTGTTCAGAAGCCACCGAAGAGCCTCCTCTGTAACTCCCAGCAATGCTAAGGGGATTGCCTATGCACTGGAGCTGGAGCAAGATGTGTGCCCACATCTAGGTTCTGTGGCACCGTCCAGGTTCCTGCCTGACCTGGGGCCATTCTCCTTCCATGACTGCACACCTACGAGCAAGCGAGGAACTTCATGGGCTGTCCCCAAGCTGGCCAGCTCAGCACGGGAGCCAGTGAGCAAGACGGGAAAGGGAGCCAGTAAGAAAAGCTCTCTGGCATGGCATCCAGGCAGCCTGCATTGCTGGCATTGCTGGGCAGGGGTGGAACAGAAACCCAGCAGGGAGGTGGAACTGGTGAGGGACTGGGCTGTCACTCAGCTCTTCTAGACTAGTACAGAGGCTCTCTATATGAGGGACAGCCAGACCTCTTTGGGCCCATTAGGAAGCGCTTGGGTTATAGGCTAGAACAAAGTAGCAAACTGCTGGTAGCTTTGTGATCTCAGGTATTATGCTGGGCTGCTGGTGGTGATTTTTGCTTCCCCTTATAGCTCACAGTATTTGCTGGGTTCACGGCTGGGGATGCCATGTGTCGGGGTAAGGCACTGCCCCCTATTCTTTAGCAGTGGGCCTGGTTTTATCTTCTTCTTAGTCTGTGAAACTGTGATGCCTTCCTCCTCCATGTCCCAACCCCTGAAGCTGGTTTCTGCCTGTTTTCTAAGTCAATGGGGGCCAACCTTTTTAGCAGGCATACAAGTTAGCCCCACAGCCTCCCCAAGTGCCACTCTGATCCCCTTCCCATGCCCGGTCTGCTGCTTTGCTTTCTGCTCCCTGCCCAGCACTCCTTGCCTGATTTGCTGCCTTGCTTTCTGCTTCTGGCCCAATCTCCCATTGTGCTGCCTGTCCTCGCCCTGATTTGCCACGTGCCACACACACAGGCTGCCTGTGCCACTTGTGGCACCCGTGCTGTGGTTCTTCAAAGCAGCACATAATGGAGGTAGGAGCAGTGCAAATCAGACTACTAGTGATGTTTACACCCTTTGCTGGTCTGGCATGTTATGCCCTAGGATGTCTTCCTGTGCTAACCCACTGCTGTCCCAGAACCTGGAAGAGTCAGTGTTAGCAAGGGGAGTTATGGGAGCCAGCCTGGTAGGATTGTCTTTTCTTTTCCTTCTCACAGATTCTTGTATGAGAGAGTGACATTTATTAGCTGGACTGGAGGCTTGTGAGCTCACACACCTGTGGTCTATTCCCAGCACTGAGACTGATTTCCTGCATGACTCTGTGCTTTGTTTCTATTCTCTGTGAGAATCAGCAGGCCAGCCCCTGTGTTACTGCAACCTGGGGTAAATCTTATGAAGTCAGAGCGCTATATGTGTATTGTGGAGAGAAGGGCACTTGTATCTTGTAAGAGAGGCCAGGTGATAGGGTGAGATCACGCCTCTTATTGTCCTACCTGCTGCTGCATACCTGTTCCAGTTTACTTAGTGCAGGTGTTTCTGGTTCCCACCGAAAATGTACAACCGTCATTTTTAATGTTGAAGTCCAACAAACCTAATTAGGGAGAATGGCTGGCTCAGAGGATTGGTAATGGCACATGGAGCCTTTCACTTCTAGGTTGTCAAATAGTTTTCAGGTCCTTAGGACAGGGACCGATAGTGCGGGTGATGGTTTTCCACTGGAGGATAGTTCATGGTCTCAATCCAGTTCCCATTGGGCAGGTGTCCATGTCTTTATTGGCTTTTACTGGCCTCCTTCGTTGATTTAACAGAGAGGCCATATATTGAACTGGCTCTGGGGAAAACTCATCTCTTTCCTGGTGGGATGTCTGGCCAGTATCACACTGCTTGGTATATGACTCCAGCTCATCTCTTACTTCCTGTTGCTGTTGCTCTCTTGCTTGGGATGAGAGTGTAAGAGTGGCCGTGTGCCGGGCACAGGAGAATGCCTCCATGAAGACCAAGATCATCTCCCAGGAGGCCTGGCCTGGAGAGTTTTCTGTTTCTTCACATGTTGTCTGTGTTGGCCTGTTCTTATTTCTTTTGCTATAAACACTATTGTTCCAAGAAATGGATCTGCTGGTGCTCCGCTGTCTGCTGCCTGGTTTCACCAGCACAGCAGGTGACGGGGGCACCTGACTGGAAGCTACAGAAGCTATCCATTCACCCCTGTTACCCTGTAACAGTTCCACTGCAGCCCTGTGAGGCCTACATGAACCCAGGATGATTTACCTGTGATCACTCCAGGCTGCACTGTAAGTCTCAGGAGGGGTGGGGGGCCCAGCAGAGCTGTCATCATGGGCCTTTTGCCAGTTTCCTTCTCACCAGCTGGGGTCCCTCTGGCTCCAAAGCATTTTGCTTCTTCTCTTCCAGCTCTTTGCCATATTTGCCTTTGGATCCTGTGGCTCTTTCAGTGGGGAGACGGGGGCTACTGTGAAATGCAATGGCAAAAACCAAGAAATGACTGCCATCTCCGTGCAGTTTGGATATCCCTTCAGGTAAATGGGATCTCCCTAATGATAGTTCAGCCAAAATCATGACTAACCTTTTCAGACAGGAGGACAAAAGACTGGGATAAAAACCCAGACCCAGCCCCTCCCGCCCAAGAGGAGCACTCTCCCCACGCAAACACACTTAACTAGCTCTGAGGGTGCATATCTACCCTGCCTCTTACCCATTCTTTGAACGAGGGATGTTAAACATATAGCCCATGGGCCAAATCCGGCCTGTGGAGGTGGGTCATTCAGCCCATGGCTGTTGTCAGTGCAGCTACTGGAGCCCCTGTGGTGGTGGTATTCCTCCCCGCTGCTTTAGTGCATCTCCAAAACCCAGGCAGCTAATGTCCCCTCACTTTCCCACCCCATCTTACCTACCCTTAAAATGGCAATGAGTTGGACACCCCTGCTTTGAAGGGATACATTTTGATACAGGGTATCCTTAACCTGTGGCACTCAGCTCCAGGATACTTCTGGTAGAATGGGACTCTCATGGCAGATTTTTCTTTAATTATCATGCATCTAAACAGATTGATCTGAGGTTGGGAGTGGAAGAATGCTTGTTTACCTGTCCCAGTGCAAAACAGCTTCCATTTTGGTTGCTTTTTGCGTTACTAAGTTTTGGAAATTTTTTTGCAATGGGCATGCACAAACAGCAGGGAGGAAGCAGACTGGTGTAGGCTTTAATTGTCCAAGACTGACTGATATTAGGAAGCTGCCAATGAACCAACCCAAAGAAATGGCCTTCGGGTATAGCTGAGGTAAGTTGGCCCAGACTGCCTGACCACATGATATAGAAGCAAAAGTGATTCCCACATAAGTGTGTAGTTGCAAAGAGAACAAGGCAATTCTAAATGAACATGTTGGCATGACCAAAGAGGAGCAGAGCAACCAAACTTTCTCTCTCTTCCTTAGCCAGGCCCTGGGGAGGCAAGACTCTTGCAGCCTCTTGAAGCACATGGGTCAGATGCTCAGCTACTGTGAATCAGCACAGCTCTACTGAAGCCAACAGAGTTGGCTTGGCATCAGTGGAGGACTTTTCGCCATGTCTTAGACCAGTTCTGAGCAGGGTTAGGTGGCATGGTGCATAATGTAATGCCAGCTGCAGGTGCCTTGCTTCCTCTAGAGTTACCAGCATTGCTCACACCAGGTGTGGGTGAGCTGGGTTTAGTTATATTTGAAACATTCCCTCGGGGGTAGAAAAGAGAACCATGTCAGGCCAAGTGGTGTCAATAAGGGTGTGATCAAATAGGAAGTAAGAACCTCAGGTCTCTTTTCACACTGAGGGGGCAGGTCTCTGCTCCCAGCAGGAGCTGAGCTGTGAGCACTTGCTAATTGTATGCAGGGGGGTTATCACATTTTTGTCTCTCTTTTGCATGTAACAAAATCTGTCCAGTAACATGGGCACACCTCCTAGATACTGCTTTTCTTAGGAGTGCAATATTCTGCTTATGTTCTTCATATCTTTCCTCTGCATTATGATTAGCAGGGCACACAAATACTTTTAATAAATGCTCTAATAATTCTTGGGCTGCATTGTATCTAAAGGTGTATCTTTCAGAACATCTCTCGGAGACAGAATGCTCAAGGGAGAACCAGGCCATTATGGGAAGAGCTGTTCTGACCCCATTAGTGGTTGGGAAAAGAAGAGCATTTAGACACAGTCCCCAGAGCATAAGAAAAACCCTTATTCATTCCAAAGCAAGCTAGGCAGGCTGTAGCATTGAGGGGGAACCTTTTGGACATCTTCAGGCTGTATTGTATGGGAGAATGCATGAGCAGGTCTGGTATGAGATTTAGGAGAGAGGCATTTGTACCAAGATTACTGGAGGTTAATAGCTTAGTACAGCATCAAAGGAGGATTAGGTATCTGTATAAAAGAGAGGAGTGCCTGCAGTTAGCATAGCTCTGATAGTAACAGCAAAGACTCTTGAGTCCTCATCCTTCAGGGCATTTGCTGATCTCCAGCTGGGTCAGGAAGAAATTCTCCTTCGCTGGTACTATGCTCCAAAGTGAGGTGCTTTTCTTAAAGCATTTCATATTGGCAACTGTTAAGAGATAGGACACTGGACTAAGTGGACCACTGATCTGTTGCAGTTAGGCAGTTTCTGTGTTCAGGTCTGCTTCTATTCAAGGGTGCAGAGAAACCAGCTAACCATCTAATTTAACTAGCCAAGGTAAATGTGGGTGGGTCTACACGAGATGCTAAATGTGCCATAGACTAATTGTATTGCATATTAGTGCATCATGGCAAAAGCCTTGCTGTTTTGCTAGTATGCACTAGGATTAGTCTACTGCACATTAATGTAACTAAAAAGGCATGCGCTGATGCTGTTGTGCAGTAGTGTTGGATACTGCGCATTCAGTTAGTACCTGTTATTACAGGTATGGCACATACCTCTGGCCCATTAGTGCACCTGTAGAAGTACCCTGTGTGGATTAAGACCAAAATAATCTAGAAAACACTATTTTAACCCTTCATAGATGCCAGGGGACAATGCCACCTCTGTGAGTTTTGCAGCTATGTCTATGCTCTGGGACTGTTGCTGCTTTAACTATAATGGCAGTGCTGAGGGAGCCAGGCTCCCTGGTTTGAACATGACTCTGCTGGTACATTTTTCCTGTCACCAGAATTACACCCACTCCCCTGAATGACAGAAGCTTTGCTTCCGAGGTTTTGCTGGCATAGCTGCATTAGTATCTTTTCATACCCCTTGCTGATGCAGCTCTTCTGGCAGAAGTCTGTAATGTGGGCAAGAGCTGAGTCCTATGCAGCTGTTGTGGTTTCTGGACTATCTGTACCTCTGAGACCTTCTCTGATCTCTCCGTACAGACCCAATTGAGTTTTGTACTTTTGCTTGCCTGGGGAGGAATCAGATAACTCTCTGGATCTAAGACTGGTTCTACAGCACCCTGTATATCAAACATGTCCCCCCCCCCCATCAGACATGACTTGGCTCATAACCAGAAGTTAATAAAAGTGACCAGAGAGGTTCCTTAGAGCAAAAGATTGTTTCATTTTGGCAACTGGAACAAAGTTTAGTGTGTAAGAATAAGGATGTGAAAACAAGACATAACCTCCTCACACATCTGCCTTACCTAAGGGTTACCTCTTTCTCTGGAGCCAGATCTCTTCAGACCCCCCCAGTGGGATCTGTATCCCTGCCTGTCTGCTCTCCACAAATGGCTCCCTGACAACTGCCTCATAGCTGGACAGAGAGAGACTTTTTAACTGTTTACAGTCTTTTTGATCTTTGCCTCAGTCTGCAGCCTGGAAATAGCATCTTCACAGCTAATAGCTCAGGTATTGTCTCTTAATGACCCCTGAGAGGCTGCTTATCTGGAGCCACTGTGCTCCCCTCCTGCTTGCTTCCCAGTAACCCTGCTATTAAACTAAACCAGCATATGCACTCAGTAAATGATAACCCAATATAAGCATACAGTAATGCTGCCCAGGAACAGGTCAAACACAGCAGTCATAAATAATTGGAGATCAGCCCTCCGTCCTTTACAGCATCATTTGCCACTTTTCCTTGGATGCAAACTTTCAAAACAAGTAGTTCACTTTAGAAAGTATCCCTCCATCACCTGCCCAGAAAGAGATCTAACAGAGTGTTTCAGATATGTCCCATTGCTGGAAGTAGGTTACTGGAGCTGATGGGCCAGTGGTCTGTTCCATTGTGCCCAGCCTTCATTAGTATGTCTGCCAGTCCAAAGCAAGAGAGGTTTGCCAAGGAACAAGGAAGTCAGAGCAATAATAGAAATAACTGCTTCATTTGTTGGGGCTCAGCAAAAAAAAGCATCTTGAGTGAGTAGAAAAGGGGCCAGAATTAGACTGAAATCCATCCTGTGAAGCTAAACATATGAAAAGTGTGAACATGGCTATATCTATCCACACATCTTGGCCTGCCTGCCAACATTTGGTAGCTATAAATAGAGATACAACTTTGAACTCCATTGAAATGCATTTGACTAGGAGAAATGTTAGCAGGGGGAGAAATGGGGAAGTGTGCAGCTAAAACAATGGTCATTGTCCCATCTTGGCAGGGACAATTGTCTGCAGGGTCTCGGATGTATGGGGATAAGTCAGTCCTCCTTAATGAGTGTTCTTGCCATCAAATTTCTTTTAATTATCTGACCTCTAACATATGCAGGCTCCAGCCTGGTTCAGAACACAGACGGAAGAGAACAGCTCTCTTCTCTTCTTCTAAGGGCTGCAGTCAACTCACTCCTAACTGCAGTGATTAGGATTTTAAGCACCTATGTAACGTGTTCTCCATTTATTGTCTCTGTTTGGTACCTTTTGCTAAATGGAAGCAAGGACATTCTGTGTCACTGCCCAGGTCAAGTCCTTATCTCCGATCCTGGTGCAAGTGGGCACAGGTCTGTTGAGAGCAGAAGAAATGATGATTTTTATATCCACTCAGGATCTGGTCCTATATTTCTAAACAGACAGTGCACATAAAGGGTCAGAGTGTAAAGAACCTCCTTTTCATTTAGGGTAAAACAAAAATGTCCTAGGGTTGGGAGTGGGATACCAGGCTGGAGAATTTTTCATAATCAACCTGGGAAGGTGGTGACAGAGAGTAGCCTTTTACTTATTTACATAATCTGTAAGGTGCTTTATAGCTGTGGACAAAGGTAAGGTCATGGCCCTGGAGAACCCGCAGTCTAAATCAGACCATATTGAATCAGAACACTAATACCAGCTGGTGCCTTTTTGGCAGCCTCTCTGAGCAATGTCTGTGCATATCATTCCCATTAGGAGAGATGAAGTGTCACTTAAACTCCTACCCTTACTGCCACGAGTTGGTCCTCTTTGCTGGCAAGCTCAGCTGAGACGCAGTCAGACGCTGAAGCAGTGGGCACACTTAATAAAACCTAAGCAGGCAGAGAAGCAGAGGACCAACCACTACGCTATCTGAACGCTTCTAGACCATGACTACACTAGTATGGCATAGATGGGGAGCACCCCTCTGGTGTAAGAGCTACTGTAGGCCAGGCACTGGGATTATGCCACCATGGGCAGTGGCTGCTGATCCTAGAATAGACGAGCCATGTTGGCAAGGCAGCATGAAGGAGCGTGCCCTGCCACTGGCCTGCAGGCCTTATCGGGGGAGAGGTCCTTTAGGTGCCAGTGGGAGCTGGACAGTGGTGTTGTTCCAGGTTCTCTGCTTGGCATCCCCTGCGAGCTCCTCATTTTGAAGCCTGCACTTCCCAACCCTGTTCATTCATGGTTTGGCCCCTGAACTCAGTTGGTATATGGGTTTCTATGGTCCCACCTTCATCTGAGGGAGCAAGCCTTATATTACTCTGCCCACCAATCCCAGCCATCAAATAGGCCAGCTCCTTTCACTGAGGGAGTTGGGAGGGGGTGACAGCTATTCTTTCCCCTGCTCTCAGCACTTGCTGAATGAAATGCATCTCCTCTCTCCACCCCTCTCTCTGGAGCAGGTTATACCAGATTCCATATGAAATGCCTGTCTGCGAGGAAGACGCTGAGAAAAGGACACTACATCTCATGGGGGACTTCTCAGCTCCAGCCGAGTTCTTTGTGACTCTGGGGGTCTTCTCCTTCCTCTACAGCATGGCAGCCCTGGTGGTCTATCTGCGATTTCATTCTCTCTACGTCGAGAATAAGAGGCTTCCCTTCGCAGTAAGATCTGAGTCTCCCAGGACACAACCTTGGTTTAGCATTTCTTTATGCTTGGGGCTTAATCCAAAGGAGTGTGGGGTTTAATCTGTTTACGCAGCAGGAGAGACTGGTCTAATGACTGGAGCACAAGGCTGAGAGCCAGGACTCCTGGCTTTGACAATGACTCACTGTGAGACCCTGGGTAAATCACTTCCTATTTCTCTCGAGTAGAGGGAGGGAGCTAGTCTCATTAGTCTCTTGATAGGAAACAGGAGAGGGAGATAAGCATCTATGTATTGTCTTAATCATTGAACTCACTTTTTTCTCCCTCAACCAATATTCCAGTCTTGCACCCCACTCCGGGCACTGAGATCTCTTTCCCTGTGGCACCATTACATCAGTAGTAATAGGGAAGAGGGATATGGCCAATGAGGTAGTCTCTTCCCTATCTTCATGCATCCCCATATTATGGCTGAAGTCAGCAGACCAGTCACTGTAGCCTGCAGCTCTGTATCTTAGGAGCAAGGACTGAAGGTAGGTTCAGAGCCAGCACTCGCAGACAAAGGCAGCAGACCCTGCAAGGTCTGTTTGGTACCTGGGGCTTCAGGACAGAATCAGGAGGCACTGGATACAAGCAACAAGGGCAGAACTAAGCCATATAACTGAAGTCATGCAGCCCTAAACACTGTGGCTTTTTAATGAAGTGTGGAGTTGTATCATCTGGGAGGAAGAAGCCTTATGGGACCCTCCCAACAAATGCCCTGGGCTCACTTTAACGGAGCACTTTGGAGGGCTTTGGAATGGAGCTAGAGGGTCCTTCCTTGCAGCATCTGGGTTGGGGGGAAGAAATCAGGATCCCGGAGACAGATCACAGTGCCCATGTTTGGTGAGAATGAGAGGGACCCTTGTGTGCAGAGCTGGGAGCAGCATGACACTTCTTATTTGTCCCGTCCCCTCCAGGATTTCTGTGTCACTGTCTCATTTACCTTCTTCTGGCTGGTGGCAGCTGCAGCCTGGGGCAAAGGCCTATCGGATGTGAAGGGAGCCACGCGGCCATCTAGCCTCATCGCTGCCATGACGGTGTGTCATATCCAGGAGAGTGTCTGTAATGCTGGGGCCACTCCCTCCATGGGGCTGGCCAACATCTCTGTGGTAAGAGCTGGCAGAACAGCAAGCCAGGGGGTGGGAAGGGACCTGGGTGATGTGGTGACATGGAAGGCAGTGGGCTGCATGTTCAGCAGGTGCAAATTGGAGTAATTCCGCCAAAATTAATATCCCATTTTTACCAGCTGGGGGTCTGGCCCATGAGGTGCAAAATCTGCAGTGTTAGGTCTCATGCAGAACATTAGTGGAGACTCCCATAGGTATCTCAGTAATATCAGCTTGTGTCAAGCCACCACCCTAGGAGGCATATCAGAGCATGGAGATGATGCAGGACCTCTGGATCTTAAAGCAGGAGCCTTTTCCTACCTGAGCAGAAAGATCCTGGCTTAGAAGACTTAAACAAAGCTACGCCAGGCATCTCAAATTCTCTAGGTGCACTGCCAGTAGAGGGTGACAGAGCCATATAGGGTGGGTTACATTTGTGTTACATTTGTGCATCTGATGCTAAATGGACCAGGGCAGATGAGGCACCAGGAGCTGGTGGGAAACCTTGCTGAGATGGCATATGGAGTGCTGTTCCTAGTCCCAAGTGCATTGCTAGGAGATGCAGTCACAGCAGCTGGATGCCTGTGTGCCTTAGTGATGCTACTTCTGCAGCACTGGGACTGAAGGAAACTTAGGTGGAGACTTTCAAATCTGTAAGGCCTCCAGCTTGGCTAAGCTAAGGGAAGTTCTCAGCTGGCTGTAATTGTCCCTGACCTTATCCTTTCAGTGACTGGCACCAGAGGACAACATAACTGCAGTTTTGAACACTTCTGAATCTACCCACTGAGCAGACACAGGCATGTGCATGTGTGTGTTTCCTGCCCGTGCTTTTTACCCTCTCT